CCGACGTTACAGGACGGCCCAAGAGGCGCCCAAGACCGCCCCAAGACGGCCCAAGAAGCTTCCAAGAGGGCCCCAGGACAGCCCAAGAGGGCCCCAAGACGGCCCAAGAGGCGCCCAAGATGGCCCAAGAGGGCCCCAAGACGGGCCCAAGAGGGGGCCCAGAGGGGGACCACGAACCGCAAGCTCGAGCCTTCCGCCCCAAGAGGCCGCCAGGAGGCCCCAAGGAGGCCCCTCAAGAGGCCCCAGGAGACCCCCAAGAGGCCCAAAGGAGGCCCCGAGAAGCCCCAAATCGGCCCCCTAAAATGCTTCGAACCTGCTTCCAGGAGGCCCCCGACAGGTTCAGAGGCTCCCGAGAAGCTACGTCAAACTCCCAGCGAGCGGCCGGACGAGGCCCCCCACAAAATCATTGTATCCTTCAGCGCTCTCTGGCCTTCTTCCCCTTGCCCCCTTCTCTGCGACTTTCGTTGACTCAAGCTCGCCTCCTAGCTAGAACCTAAGCGCGCGCGCGAAGCGCGCGCGTGGTTCTAGTATATATATATATATATATATATATATATATATATATATAAATGCGCCCCGAAAACAGATATACCAACGCATAGTTTTGCAACGCCAGTTTTCAAACAAACATGTGCTCGCGATAAAGACCAGCAGGTGTCCCGACGTGTTCATCAAATTCTGCCCGGCGGGCCTCTCGTGCCGCGCGCCGAACCCATTCGACCGCCCTTGCGCGCGTGCTGAGGGGGGGGGGGCGCGACCGGTGTTTGTAATGCCGCGCGGGCCATTCGCGCGCGTCGGCCGCGCGCGCGCCGAACTCCGTCAAAATCTTTCGTCGCCGACGCGGGCGTCGCCATCGTTGTCAGCGGGCGCGATCAACGTCGGCGCCGCCATTGGCCTCGCCGTCGTCATCGCCACCATCGTCGCCATCATCGCCACTCTCATAATCGTGCTTTCCGTTGTCGGCGTCGCCATCATACCGCGCCCGGCCAAGTCATTGACTCGCAGTGAAGAGCCCGCTGGGAAGTGCCCAGCGGCCAGCGCAACCGTGGCTGCGTCGGCCGCGCCAAACTAGTTGGCCGTTGCGCGCGCGAGCATGCGCGGGCTAGCGCGGCCGCAGAGATGCACCAGTCAACGCCAAGCACTCATCGCAATCGCCACGCGTGCGTTTTGCAAACTAAGCTGCGGGTGGGTGCGCGGGATGTTTGCCAGAGCGTGGCATTTGTCAATTCGCTTGTGGAAAGCAATTGCACCACATAACTGGGTTGCGGTAAATTTGCGCCTGCGGCGCATTTGAGGACCGCTCGCAACATACATTACACCACGTATTTTCAAAACGTAGATTGCACCACGTATATATTCTACATCGTACAGTGCACAACCACATCGGTTGCATCATATAGAATGCGCAACATAGATTGCACCACGTAAAATGCACGACGCACACACACATTTATTTATATATATATACATACACGTACGTACATACACACATGATATATATATATATATATATATATATATATATGTGCTCACCCCCCTGTGATCATACATGTCGTTTTCTTTCTCCTCATCCTAATCATCCTTCTCCCCATCCTCGTCCTCGTCGTCGTCGCCCCCCTCCTCTTCCTCATCACTCTCCTCCCCCTCTCCATCATATCCCTCTCCTGTTCCCCTATTCGTCTCCTTCTGGTCTTCCTCTTCGTCCTTGTTTCCATCCCTGTCCTCCTCCTCCTCGTCCCCGTCCTCGTCCTCTTCTTCCTTCTCATCCTCCTCCTCTTCCTCATTGTTCTCTCCCTCCCCATCCCCTCCCCTCCTCCTCTCTCCATGCCCGCTCCCTCTGGTCCACATACATTGCGCAACGTATATTGCGCTCGACCACATACATTGCACAACGTATATTGCACAACACAGCTTGCATCACATACGGTGCGCCGCATACACTGCACCACAAAGATTTTCCGTTCTAAAAAAAACATGAATCCTCCCCCCCCCGGAATTAGCAATCCCCCTCTGGGGTATTGCGATTTCATATTTATTCTGCACTTTCGTCCATCCTACGTATGAGCCCGTACTATCCCAGCCAAACCCGTACCACCCCCCGCCATCCTGCACAACAGTCTCGTTTATAAACAATCAGAAGATTGCAATAAGCCCTTACAGCAACAAAAAGAAACAACAACAACAAAAAAAAACAACAACAACAAAACGGGACGAAGTGCACACGCGCGCGTCGTCGCGCGCGCGCATCCCGAAATCCTTCAAGAACCTTATTTCAAAATCGAGTTTCCAACAACACATAAAAAATAATGGTTAAAAAAAGCGTGCGCGCGTGCTCTTGCGAAATCTTAAGAAAACCATAGGTTTTTCAATATTTCAAAATCTACTACCAAACGGGTTTCGCGCGCGCTTGTCGAAATCCTTCGAACGCCCTTGCGCGCGTGCCGTCGCGAGTATCCTCTGCAACAAATGGGACGAAGTGCATACGCGCGCGTCGTCGCGCGCGCATGCCGAAATCCTTCAAGAACCTTCGGTTTCGGAAGGATTTCAAAATCGTGTATCCACAAAGCATACACGAAGACAAGGTTTCTCAACACGGATTTTCAACAAAAGCGTGCGCGCGCATTCTTGCGTCGTGGTCGTCGTCGCTGTCGCCGTCGCCGTCCTCCCTCCTCGTCGTCGTCGTCGTCGCCGTCGTCGTCCTCTGTCTTTCCTCGTCGTCGTCGTCGTCTTGGCGTCGTCGTCGTTTCCGTCGTCGTGGTCGCCGTGGTCGTCCTTCCTCCCTCGTCGTCTTCGTCGGCGTTTCGTCGTTGTCCCTCCTATTTCGTCGCCGTCGTCGTTGTCGTCGTCTTCCCTCTTCCCTCATCCCTCGTCGTTGTCGTCGTCGCCGCCGTCGTCCGCCCTCCCTCGTCGTCGTCTTCGTTGGCGACGTCGTCGTCGTCGTCTTCGTCGTCGCCGTCGTCGTCGTCGGCGTCGTCGTCGTCGGCGGCATCGTCGTCGTCGGCGTTGTCATCGTCGTCGTCGTCGTCGTCAGCGTCGGCGTCGTCGTCGTCGTCGGTGTTGTCGTCGTCGTCGTCGTTGTCGTCGTCGTCGTCGAAGTCGTTGGAGGCGTCGTCGGTGTCGTCGTCGTCGTTGTCGGCGGCGTCGTCGTCGTCGTTGTCGCTGTCGTCGTCGGCGTCGGTGTCGTTGCCAAGTGCCATTTGGTACCCACCGTCACGGTTTTTAAGAGGTCTTGCGACCAAGTTGTGGGTGGGAGGGTGGGATGTTTGCACGAGCAGTGGAGAGGACAGCTTCAAGTTGAGCAAGTAAATGACTTCACCACATAGATCGCACCACCACTATCCCACCGCAAACTTGTCCGTGATCTTGTGCAGGCAACCTCATCAAGGGCATCAATATCAAATATCGATTCCCATATATTGCACAGCTTGATTAGCACCGCATCCGTGGAACAACATATGTACGTATGTATGTATGCATGCATGCATGCATGTATGTATGTATGTATGTATGTAGGTATGTATGTATGTATGTTCATACATATGTATATACAAGTATATACAGATGTTGCACCACATAAATTGCTACAAGCACATTGTTCGGGGCATTCGTTAGCTAACACACACACACACAACTATGTGTGTACATGTACAGATTATGTGAGTATACATATGTTAGATTAATGGATTCACCTTTGTCCTTTCAGTCGCCCCAGCGCCAGGACGGGGCCCAGGTGATCGAAGTCCCCCGGATCGTGCAGGACGGGAACCGTGGGTTGGCGGAGCACACAGGACAATCTCAGAGGAGGGCGAAGTAACAGGATGAGACCCACGTGTCCAACGCCAGCCACGAAACACTTTGGACAGCCAGGTTCAAGAAAACCTGGTCTATTGCGCGGACATTTGCGCGTAAGTTGTTTGCGTGAGGTTGCGCGTAAGCGCCCTCTTCTCCACTCGGTGTGCCACGCTGGCGGCCCGCGCGAGACGTTGTGTAAGGTCGCCATGCTTTGTTGCGCAACACCTTTGTTTTGCTTGTCGTCCGCATGTCCAGCGTCGGCCACAATAATACTGTGGAAGCCACAGCTTCCAGCTCTCTCTCGGCGATCAGAGGCTCGTTTGGGGCCCTGGACCGCTAGAAAGCTGTTCAGGATTGGAGAGCCGGCTCTAAGGATGGGGTCGGGAGGTTTGAAAGCCCACGCCACTAGAAAGACATGGCGTCTCACGTCTGGGAGCGCAGCGTTTCAAAGGAGAAGGCAATGATAATAAGAGGGCCCTCATTTCACGGAAAGGCCCAACACCACCCCCGAACAAAGCAGGAAGATGATGAGCAGGGCGAGGACGAGGAGGATAGAGAGGAGCACGAGGAGGTAAGAGGGACACCAGGAGGGGGAACGGGATAAGTTCCCCATCTTTCCTCCTAATGTGCCTCTACCCTCCTCCTCCCTCCATCTATGCTTCGGGACGTTCCTACTGTACCGGATATTTCTCTTCCGGGCATTGGGGGCGTCTGGTGGAATCGTAAGTGCTACTCGCCGTTTTCGTGTTGACAGAAGTGCTGGTGTACCTCGCAGTCATCGCCGAAGTCGTGCACACTCCGTTCGCGTTTCTGTAGTCGTCCTCATTTAGCTGAAGGTGGTCCCTGGGCCTTGCAGCAGGGCGATAGCGTTGGATGCGTTACCATCACGTGGCCCCTTCCACGTGGATTCCCTGAACTCCCTATCCTTGTCCCCGAAAGGTCCCGACCCGCTCCCTTGGGGGAGCTTGTCGTCCTGGATCCGTTTCTGAAGAACCCCGATCCAGAACGCGGCCCCCGGGGGCCCAAATCGAGGAAACATGCCGGTTGAATGAGTCTCCTCGTCGGAGATTTGGGTGTTCGATCCAGCCCGGGGACGTCATTCAAACAGCTCGACGACGGCGGCGACGGCGGCGGCAGCGCGGGCGCGCGCCGGCGGGAGCGGGGCGTGGCGAGGTCGCGCCGATGCAGCCGCGGCCGTGGGGGTTCACGTTCCGCGGCCCCGGGCGGCGCTCAGAGACCGCTTCCGCGCCGTCGCCCTCCCCTCCGCCCGAGAGGAGGGAGGAGGGAGGAGGAGGTCATCTATTGTACAATCATGCAGCCCCATTGTCTCGCGTGAGGTCAGGACAGCCCCTCACAGAGAGGCAAATTCTAGACGCTTCGCGTAACCCCACCAGTTTTTCCGTAGCCCTCTGGCTCAAGCCGTCTGGTGGGCCTGCCCTCTCCGGGGCAGTCTCCCGCCGCTCAAAGGGGGCGCCCAGACGCTGCGCCGGGGGCCCGCGGCCCTGGACCCCCTCCGGCACCGGGCGCGCCAGCCATCGCGAACGCCTGCCCGCCGCGCAGACGGGCTCAGCGGCCCGAGGCTCAGATCGGATCAGGACCGCTGCCTCATGGATGGTCGGCCTGATAGCTTGCGGTCGATCGGCGACAATCCTGTCATCCCTGTGGGGGAAAGAGCCGCATCATCCGATGTCGGCCTCGGGACCACTGGGCCAAATGACTTTGGACAGACTCGCCCTGGATCGCAGGACACCATCCCGCCGGGGCAACCTTCGCTCTCTGTTCCCTGGAATGGGAGCGCTTCGGCCGATGCTTCGGGCACGCGAGGACATATGATCCCCAGCCAATCGGAGGGAGGGGCTGATCCCCTCAGCACTGTGATGCACACCGAACGTGCGACCTTCCGTCGCTACCCTGGACTTGAGATCGACGGATGCGCAGCGGTTGACGGGGTTGATACGTTCAGCCCTCCGTTTCATACTGACAGCGCGACCTTCCGTCGCCATCCTGGAGGTATTGTCAGACATGAGGCCTTCCCGCCCAGCTACCCTTCCCTTGCCCCCACTATTCCTCTGCCCACGGCTGGACGCCCAATCTCCTTTTCTCCAGGCAGCGCTGGGCACAGCGGGACCGCCCATGGCGATGCTAGGCTCACGGGGGCCGACGGGCCCACTCCTGAAGCAGTCTATTATCCCACGAACCTCCCTCCTCTCGGACAGTCTCGTGACGAGCTGGGAGTTGCCCTCGGCTCCCGACGCAGAGACCTCGATGGCGTGGATGGGGACTGCATGGACCCGACACCCCCAGCAAGCGCCCCTGAAGGCGAAGTGGGGGGAGACGGGCAGTCACGTCGCCTCGGCCCCGTCACGCATCCTAGGGGCTCTTGCCCTCACTCCGCCGTGCCCCCCTCTCTGGATGCGGCCGCCCCGAGCGAGGCTGCTCCCCGCAGCGGTTCGAGCGTGGAAGACAGGTCCTCAGGTTGCGGCGCGCACCTCGACTCTGACACCACTCCAGGCCGCCTTCAGGAGCCTGACAGCGGCAGGCGTGGCATTGAAGGAGGGGGCAGTGCGGCCATCCCCACAATTCACACAGAACGTGCGACCTTCCGTCGCTACCCTGGAGCGGACCGCGACGGGCAGAGGAACGCCCGCGATGTTCAGCCCAGGGAACGGTGTGTAGGGGTAGAATGCACCAGAGAGCTGAACCCCGTGGGGGATGGTCGCGGCAACGTTGGCAGAGGACATCCCGACGCTGCGACCTTCCGCCGCTCCCCTGGACGCGATGACCTTGGGCGCGAAGCCCTCCTGTCTAGCCCAGCCGCCTCTCTCACCTCCGCCGCTCCCATGCCCGCTGCAGGACGTCCAACTTCCCTCGCCCCAGGCGCTGTCGGGCAGAGTGAAACGACCCCGGGCGTTACCAGGGCTACGGGGGGAGAGGGCCCCGCTTCGGCACAAAACTCCCCCGCGGATCCTGTGGCGCTTTGGACAACCGACGAGGAACAGGCGAACATCCGCCGCGGTCTTCCCAGGGGGCAGGTTGACTCGGATGTCGCGCACAGGGAGCTGATATCCTCAGGGGACGCCCACGAGGGCATAGGCAACAGGTGCGGGCAAGCCGCTGCCTGCAGCCCCTGCGCGCCCCGTCAAGGCTCACGCCGACCCACCGCCGAACCCCCCCCCCCCCTGGGCGTGCCCGCGCTGGGTGAGGCCGTCCCCGCTGGCGAGCTAAGCGGTGGAGCCCCTCCTTCCACCCGTGAAGGGCATCCCGCCGCCGACGCAGCAGTTGACCGCCCCCATGCACCCGAGAGCGGCAGGCATAATGCTGGAGAAGGGGGGGATGCAGACATCCCTGATATACACCCAAACCGTGCGACCTTCCGTCGCTACCCTGGAGCGGATGGCGGAAGGCTGGATGACGCCCAAAGCTTGCGACCCAGGGAACAGACGGACGGGGGAGCTAGGAACAGGGACCCTACCCCCACGGGGGTTGGACGGGGGTACGGTGGTCATGTGCACCCCAGCGCTGCCGCCTCCAGTCGACCCACTGGAGACGAGAGCGCTAGGCACCACACTCAAGGAGGGGAGGAGGCTCTCCCCCCCGCGATGCACACAGGACTTGCGACCTTCCGTCGCTACCCTGGACCGGACGACGGCACGCAGAGAGAGGCGCACGGCGTTCAACCCAGGGATCGCTGGCAGAGGGAAGACATGACCTGCGACCCTGCCCCCACAGAGGCGGGACGGGACAGCGTCTTCAGTATACGCGCTGATACCGCGGCCTCCCGGTGCCTCCCAGGAGCAGGCCACGGGCCTTGCCTCGCGCCTGAGGGAGGGGTGCGAGAGTCGGGGGTCCCCGGCTCCAGTGATCGCAGGGATGCGCCCTCCTCCACAGGGATGATCGATCGCCTCTGTCTTGCCATGGGCTTGGCCGTTGGAGGGCCTGACGGGCCTTCTCGTTCGCTCAGCACCCCCAGGTTTGCTTCCGATCCCGCGGTCGGGGCCGCTCCTCATGTCGATCCGATCGATCGGGCAAGGTCTCCGATCCCGGCGGATGGATCTCCTCGTGCCTTTCCGCCCTCGTCCACCAGCTCTTCCCCCGACTTCTCCCCTCCCGACCTGCCCCCTGGGCTCGAGTTTCTTAACGATGCCCTCGGTGAATGCCGTCGTGGACCTGACTACTCGTCACAGGGCAGAGTGCGGGGGCCCCTCCTTTGGACGAACAGCGGCGCGCCCCTCGAGGTCGGCCACACGGCGCACAGGGGTCCCGTCCTCACGGACCCCCCCTCCTACCCACCTCCAGATCTCGCCCTGGAAGATGATCTGCGAATGGAGAACCCGCCCACCCCCTCAGACCTTGACGACCACAGCCAAGCGCTGAGGAGCAGGGGGCAAAGCGCTGCGGACCTCCACGCACGGTGGCTGGACGCCACTGGGCGCACGAATGCTGACCGGGCGGCCAGCCGGGAGGCGGACGGACCCATTTGTGGCCCGCGCGTTGCAGACGCCAGGATCTCTGGCAGGGGGGGCACCATGAGGGCCCTACGCCGGCACCTTGCGCACACTGAGGGGCCATGGCGCGAGGTCCCCAACCGCGGAGCGCCGAGAACATCTCGGGAGACCAGCAACCTGGAGCTCCTCATGCACCGCGCGTGGAGGAGGCACCGCCCAGGCCACCCAGGCATACGAGCTGACAGCCCCATGCGCACGGCTCCCGTAGAACCAGCCCTCACTGGACGTTACTCCGAGGTCGCCACTTCAGCCCCAATTCTCGCTATTCTGGACCACACCTGGCTGGTATGGTCCATCACTGGAGGAGACTATGAAGGGCGTCTGGGAGGCGTTCAACCGGACCCAGTCCAGGTCCTCGCCTTCCGCTTTGCGAGCATTACTCATGATCCCAGTATAAGGAGTGAAAGAATGGACGCAGCCAACCCCTCAGTGACTGAGAGGCAACTAGCACGGCTCGAGTACGTTGCCATGGCCGCAGCTGCACACTACTGCGACATAGGAATGGAGCTCCCGAGCGGATATGACACAGATAGGATGCCCATGCCCACCAGATCCCCTGAGGACTCTGCCCCTCTGCACATCGGTGGCCCCAACCGAGCAGACGGGGCGCAGGGCCCCACGGATGACGAGGTCATGGGTTACGCCCATCGAGTCCTGATTCACGAGCGCAGGCAAAACATAGTCCACTTTCCGGACCACGGGGACGTCAGGCAGTGGGCCATCACGAGAGGGAACCTCGAGCGCATGGGAAGTGACGTGCACTCGAGACGACAAGCAGGTAGAGGCCCAGTCCCATGGGTAGAGGCCGCCGTCTCGGGGATACCCGCCAGCTCCGCGGGCATCCCTGGAGTCCCCATCCAAGGAAGCGACAGTAGCGACGACGCTTGGCCATGGTCCACCACAGCTCACAGACTACGGCTGCGGGACTTTTTCTGCCCAGGAGAGAGATGTAATTTCTGTGGCACCTGGGTGCTCCGAGATCCCACAGGACAAACCTGCATCACTTGCCACAGACTGGCCACCCCCTGGAGTTACAACCCAGAGGAGCCGCGAGCAGACGCCTCACCTCAGAGTCACCCAGGAGCAGACCTTGGCCAGCCACCCAACAGGCACGCCCTCGACCGCCTGGGCGGGACTCTGTTGATTCAGCTCGTCAAAGCGGGCACGCGATACGCCCCAATCGCTGAGCACCTGTACTCCCCCACGCCGCCTGGCCCCTCCGACTTCACCCCAACGTGGCTTGCGGGTGAACTCCTGGGAGCCTGGAGGCATATGGTGGCCCACGCTGCAGGCCTACCTGAAATCTGGTCATACGAAGACTCAGGAGGCCTCGAAGAGGTCGGGAGCGATTGGCAGCTCCGCGCAGCGTCGATCTCGCTGGCTTTACTGTGCTCAGCGCCAGGCTCCTGGGCCTTAAACGCCTGCCAGGAAATTCGGCACATCATCAGGACCCGCCCCCATGGTCGGCTCGATGGGTGGTTCCCTCCCTCTCTCTACCACGGCGGCACAGACACTCGCCCACAAACATACCGGAGGCCCCCGCTACCCAGCAGAACAACTACATCCGTTCCCATTGGACCGAACACTCGGGTGCACCTGGACGACCTCTGCTGGCTAAGATACACCATCGGCGGGGACCACCTTGACCGCGCTATAAGCGACGCACGTGATCACACCGATCTCAGCAGACGCTGGTGGCACAA